ATTGGAATTTCGAAAAACTAACCTCGGATTCGTGATCCTCGACCTCGATTACCCTTCGGTCAACCCTTACTCGATAACAACAAAAAATTTCATTATTTAATTAGTAATTAGCTAATTAGCTAATTGGAATTTCGAAAAACTAGCCTCGGATTCGAGATCGTCGACCCCGATTACCCTTCGGTCAACCCTTCTTAGTCAGAGATGTAGATTGCTTTTTCGTTAGTGTAAAGTACGTGAACGGACGAACGTACGGACGAACGTACGGACAAACGAACGAACTTTAGCTCAAATTCTTTGTATACCCTCCTTTCAGTAGAGGGAATAGAGCTTGGCTTGCTCCACGAAATGGTGTATGTGATATCGACTCGTAGTTCTGAAATGGCCTCGAGAGTATCAAAATGTTCAAATTTAAACGATAACATAGAAACTGGAGTTTGTGAAGCAATTATCAAATGCTGTCATTCATGAATCATTTTTTAAAGTGTCATATTAGGAATCAGCACAAAAAAACGGACCTAGAAAAAAATGTTTCAGATGACTTTTGAGCTTTTCATTTTCTCCGAATTTCCCCTGGGGTACGCCTCAGGTACTTTTTCAAGAAAAAATGAAGTACTGTCAAAGCCAGTTTTACCGATGTAAAACGCGTTCGCGTGTTGGACAATGTCATCTGAAAGGTGAACTATGAAGAATAAGTCAATGAAATAAGAGGCTTCAACGAATTAGTTTTTCTTGAAAAAGTATCTGAGGCGTAGGGGTGGCACATTTACTTCACTTTTACTCTAGGTAAATAAGGTAAAGTAAATAATATATTTACCGTTTACTTTTGTAAAGTAAATCTATTTACTAGTAAATGATTTTTAAAAATTATCCATAATTGCTTTTGTTGTACTCAAAACGTGAGTACACTACCCAGGTCAACAAATCCGATCGGATTCCTGGAAACGGAATTGCATTGGAGTCCGACTGAAAAAATTCCGTCGGTTGTTGCACATTTTATGAGCGATCTTTTTAGCTATGTTCTATAATGACCCTTAGAAAATCCAAGGAATTCGTGTTTCGGATCCGACGAGATCCGACATGGGATCCGAGTATGGGATTGTTCGACCTGGGTAGGTATTAAAAAGAAGCAGGATGTCTACTGTTGTATCTTTTCCAGTATACAAGCAGAGCCTCTGCTCCGCTTGCCAACCATTCGATGCTTCCGACGACGTTCAATAGCCGTTGCTCATTGAAGATGACACGTCAGAGAACTGAATCTGATGGCAACTACTTTTTTCGTGCACTGATGAGGGAACCGTCCCAACTGTCCAATCGCGTTTGAGCTTATATCTTGGGTATATATGGATGCCTTAGAGACTAGTATAATCCTAAAAGGATTTGGGCCGATAGGCCGTTCGAACCGAGATATATGGGTTTTACTGTGTTATGTTCGATGATGGAAAAGAAAGAGGCGTGTGTTCGATGGTACTATCGAAGCATAACTGACTAGTTCCATTTATTTCACAACATATATAGAACCAGCAACAACAGAAATGAGAAAGAAATAGTCGGGAAAATAGATGTCATGATACCTCGTATCATAGCACCCTTCCCCTTGAGGGAAAAAGATAAAAATTAACAAAAAACTAAATTATAATGAAAAAATATCTGAACATTCGTGATATCACCAATAGCAAGGAAGAGAAAGACATGCGAGCGATCGTTAGAAAAAAGAAGGAGAAAATAAACAAACAAGAAGAGAGAAAAAAGAAAAGAGATAATGTTCACCTTTTGAATCGCCAATAGTTCTTCCTGTCGAAACAGTACGACGGCAAGGCATCTTCACATCGTCTTCGATCTTGATCGCACTTAACACCTATAATAGCTTGATCGCCGTGGAATTTGACATGACGAAACAACACACCATAATGACGAAGTATTTTCCGGTTCAATTTCAATCTGAAACGATAATAATAAGATCTTTTCAAAACATGTCGATACCGGAATAGTCGAAGATGATCGTTTCTTTTCTTGTTGTGTTTCTTCTGTGCTTCAATTGATCTAATCTTCTTTCTTCGTTGCGATGGTTCTTGTTCTGTTGGATCAGGAACTAGTTGAACCATGTCAACCGTTCCCTCTACATCACAATAATTCACTGCTGCATGACCATCATCGATTAATTCATTATCAATCCCATGAGCTGTTGTTATTGCTAATTCTAATTCCATTTTTTCATAATCTTCATTATCAGCAGTAGGTGGATAATTTTCATCGACTGGTTCAGCATCTTGTTGTATAATTTTATGTAAATATACCTCTTCATTGGACAATATCGATTCGATATCAGAATCACCGGCTGCGAATATCCTTGCTAATTTCTGTATATCGATGTTTTTCTTCTTCTTCTTTTTTATTGTAGTTTGCAGTTGGGCAAGTTCAATTGATTCAAATGCAACGAACACGTCCTTCATGTTTCTGGTCTCGATCATATTGAATGTCCAATGTTCCATAATTGGTCCTAATAAAAATGTTACGGCCAAAACATCGTGTACCGCGTACTTGACCATTTTCCTTTGATCCGTATACGATAATCTCGAACGATTGGACGTTAAACTTGCTGACCAATGACTTAATCGATAAGTTTTATCGAGATGTAATTTATATGCGTATTTAACTGCATTCTGAAGAGACCATAGTTCAGTGGATCGATATGGCGATGGTGGATGACAACGACAAGAAGAATGTTGATTGAGTTGTTGCATAGTTCTAGTTCCATTCTTGGTAATGTTAATTCCATACCACAGGCTCTGGACCCAGCACTGGGTCCGAGCCCCATTATACCATGTTGAGAAATGTGGTTGTATGTTGATTGAT